TGACACTGTCTCTGCCCCCTGTCCTGTAAAAATAAATAAAATATTAGTAAAAAAAAAAAAAATTACAGTTAAATATAAAATATACTTAGATCATATATATTATATATATATATGATCTAAGTATATATATATATATATATATATATATATATATATATACACACACACACATTTACACATACACGAAGTGTATTTAAATATTAATATATATAATTATTTATATATATATTACTATCAAATTACACGTAGACTAATACTGATTAAATATATATATATATATATAATTATTGTTATATATATATATTTATATATAATATAAAAAAATGTAAATACGTAAAAAAAATAAAATTAAAAAAATAATTAGAAATAAATAATAAAAAAATATATAGATGTTTGTTATTTCGTTCTAACTGTATTGTGATATTAATATATATATATTTATATCAAAATACACGTAGAACGAAATAATATATATATCTATATACATAAATATATAAATATATATCACTAAATATATACACCTATATATATAAATAAAAATATTTTAAAAAATTATATATATATATATGTATATATACACATATGTATATATATACATATATTAATTCTACACATATATTTATGTAATATTTTTACATAATTAGGTATCCTAATTAATTACAATTAGCGGGACCTGCCTGACAACCCATGCCGAAAGTATAGGGAATTTAATTTGCTAGCACTATATTTAACCCTATAACTTTTCAAGACACCATAAAACCTGTAAATTGGGGGTACTGTTTTACTCGGGAGACTTCGCTGAACACAAATATTAGTGTTTCAAAACAGTAAAATGTATTACAACAATGATATCGCCAGTAAAAGTGAAGTTTTTTGCATTTTTCACGCACAAACAGCACTTACACGGATGATATTATTGCTGCAATACTTTTTACTGTTTTGAAACACAAATATTTGTGTTCAGCGAAGTCTCAGGTTTTATGGTGTTTTCAAAAGTTACAGCGTCAAATATAAGGCTTGTGTTTCATTTTTTTCACATTAAAATTCGCCAGATTGGTTACGTTGCCTTCGTGACCCTATGGTAGCCCAAGAATGAAAATTACGCCTATGATGGCATACCATTTGCAATAGTAGACAACCCAAGGTATTGCAAACAGGGTATGTCCAGTCTTTTTTAGTAGCCACTTAGTCACAAACACTGGCCAAAATTGGTGTTTTTTTGCATTTTTCACACAAACAGATACTAACGCTAACTTTGGCCAGTGTTTGTGACCAAATGGCTACTAAAAAAGACTGGACATACCCCATTTACAATACCTTGGGTTGTCTACTATTGCAAATGGTATGCCATTATGGGTGTAAATTTCATTCCTGGGCTACTATAAAGTCCCAAAGGCAACGTAACCAATCTGGCGAATTTCAATTTCAAATGTAACGTGCTATATTTGACCCTGTAACTTCCCAAAACGCCATAAAACCTGTACATAGGGGGTACTGTTTTACACGTGAAACTTTGCTGAATACAAATATGTGTATTTTATTGCAGTAAAAGCAAACAGTATTATGACACTGACCGTTAAAATGTCATGTAGAACTAAAAAAATCAAAAAAATCTTATTTTCTCCCATTTTTTTCATATTAAATTATGTTTCATAGCTAAATATTTGATATTAAATGAAAGCCCTGTTTCCCCTGAATAAAATGATATATAATAAGGGTGGGTGCATTTACTATGAAAGAGGTGTATTACGGTTAGACAGACATGTAGCGCAAATGCCAGGTTTTGTTTACATTTTGTTTCGTTCACACTGTGTACATTTGGCTCCGTCCTTAAGGGGTTAAACTAATAACACAAAAAGAATGAAATGTTGCCATGTTTTTATTGAACACACCATGTAAACATTCACAGTGCAGGTGGAAAAAGTATGTGAACCCCTAGACTAATGACATCTCCAAGAGCTAATTGGAGTGAGATGTCAGCCAACTGGAGTCCAATCAATGAGATGAGATTGGAGGTGTTGGTTACAGCTGCCCTGCCCTATAAAAACACACACCCTTCCGGATCTAAGTAGTTAATGTCCCGTGTGCCTAAGCTTAGTGAATGCACTAACTATAATGAAAGTGTAAAACTAGCTTTACTTACCTTCCAGGACCTGGCTGTGGCAGGAGTGCTAGCACGCATGTGCAGCACAGGAGCCAGCTGATTCCCCTCACCGGAAGTGATGAGGGTAGAGGATTTTCACGGGTAGGGAAATTTGATAGAACACCTGCACAGATGACAGCCGTGCATGCTCTTCATGCCTCATACGGCCGCCTAATGAAAGCTTGTGTGCACTACAACCTGATGCCGAAGGAAACTACATTTCCCATTAGGCTACGTTTCGATGACGCTGGAAAAGCAGCGTGTCATGTGCTTACAAATTTTCTTTTTATTCATCCCCTTGCCACACTGGCTGTGGAGGAGTAGCAGGAGTGCTAGCACGCATGTGCAGCACAAGAGCCAGCTGATTCCCCTCACCGGAAGTGACGAGGGTAGGGGATTTACACGAGGTAGGGGAATTTGATAGAACACAGGCGGCGTGCACGGCCAGCCAGAGGGAATACCTTCCCACATAAGGGGGTGGTCTTAGCTTGTCTGCCTATCACAGCAATATTTTGGAGGGGAAATAAGGTGCTCAGCGGCCATATTATGTATGGCACTTATGCAATATATCGCGGCCACCTATTTGAGGACAAATCTAGTGCTAATTAGCAATAATACAAGTGGCAAAGGGCATATATAAAGGAACAAATTAATTAAGGGAAAAAAGGGAAATAATAATAGGAATGGGAGAAGGGGATTTTATAAAACACAACTAGTAGTCAAAGCTAGCTTTTAATAAACAGGCTGAAAATCACCAACTTAAAGGGGTCTTAAATGGTCAGCTGAGCAACATGAAACAGTAAAACAGAGTGCTGTAAGAAAAATAAAAAACAAGGTAACCATGTTAACCGCGTATTGTATTTGCTGGATAGAATGCTAAACAATATAATGGATATCCCTTCTCAGTGTATATATACAATATATGATCACAGATGAAAGACTATAAGGGTTATTTACTAAAGTGAGAATTCAATGTTAATTTAAAATTTGAGGCCTGAGGACTTGCAAAATATATTGCAAAACCAGAACTGAACTCATAAAAGGGTGATACAAGAACATTTAATAATTACATATAAATATTACGTTTAGCGTTTTAATCTTGTGAAATAGAGATTTTCATGTACAGTTTGCAGAAAAATACCAAGAAAGTATGTGATTGGGCATGTACTATGTATTCATACATAGACAATCTCTAGAGAATATAAACACAATGTAATATTGTTTAAGTAAACAATGTACAAAGTGTTTCAATAGTGGGTGTTTTTGATTTAAGATTAAAAAATACTCAACACTGTTTGGTTCTGCTGGAGATCTGCCTTGAAAACTATTATTAGTGGAAATGGAACTATGGTCTTAAAATACAGAAAATCTATCACCATAGTCATAGTAGGAAATATATTTGAAAGATTGGTACAAGAAACAATTGTTATGTACAACGATATTATCAGAGGGACTCAACATGGTAACATGGTTTTTGGTTTATAGATACAGTGATTTTCCAAATCAAAAGACAACTGCATTGTTTTTGTGTTAGCTAGATTTCCTCATATTTGTACACACATAGTTTGTATAAATATGTAATTGTTAGTGATTGTCACTTGTAAAGACAAACACCATAACAGTCATTTACAGTAGGCCCGTAGTCCGTATTTGGAGTTTTCACACATTTTGGACATTATACATTTTTTCTTACAGAAAAAGTTAAAATAAATGAATACAAACAGACTCCTGGTTTTAATGCATTATATATAAACAGTGCATTAGATAAATAGGAAACTGTAGACATTATAGTATATAAAGTATGTCTCTACATGTCAGTTTAAAACTGCATGGGTATGAGTTTTTGTTATAATTGCAACAAAAACAAATATTGGCCACATTTTACGTATGAACGCTTAAGCAAATGTTGAACAAATATACATTTTTTTGTTTATTTAGTATTGAAGAAAATGACAGGTTAATATTATTTATATCTAAGAGCAAGTATATTCATCCTGGTCAAATGCCAACCGTTGTCAGTGTTAGTCTATGGGTAAATGCACATTTGTCATGCTTATCTTTCTCATTGTAAGTATATATGACAAATATTAGAGGCAGCAACAGGAATAGGGCTTGTATTGACATTGTATCTATACAGTTATGCTGACGCTTTGTAGATGTAGTCACCCAATCAATACAGGAAAATGTTGAGTTACAATAACTTTGTTATTTTTATTTTATTTATTTTATGTTATCAAGTGTTGTATTGCTGTAGTCTACTCAACAGCCAATGTCTGACACATTCAATAACACTAGCCATAATCAAATAAATTCAATAACACTACTCAACAGCAAACATCCAACACATTCAATAACACTGCCCAACAGTAAAACATCCAACATACAACACATTCAATAACACTGCCCAACAGCTAACATCCAACATCCAACACATTCAATAACACTGCCCAACAGCAAACATCCAACACATTCAATAACACTGCCAAGCAGCAAACATCCAACACATTCAATAACTCTGCCCAACAGCAAACATCCAACACATTCAATAACACTGCCCAACAGCAAACATCCAACATATTCAATAACACTGCCCAACAGCAAACATCCAACATATTCAATAGCACTGCCCAACAGCAAACATCCAACACCCAATGTATTCAATAACACTGCCCAACAGCAAACATCCAACACATTCAATAACACTGCCCAATAGCAAACATCCAACACATTCAATAACACTGGCCATAATCAAATAAATTCACTAACACTACTCAACAGCAAACATCCAATACATTTAATAACACTGCCCAACAGCTAACATCCAACATCCAACACATTCAATAACACTGCCAAACAGCAAACATCCAACACATTCAATAACACTGCCAACCAGCAAACATCAAACACATTCAATAACTCTGCCCAACAGCAAACATCCAACACATTCAATAACACTGCCCAACAGCAAACATCCAACATATTCAATAACACTGCCCAACAGCAAACATCCAACACATTCAATAACACTGCCAAGCAGCAAACATCAAACACATTCAATAACACTGCCAAGCAGCAAACATCCAACCCATTCAATAACACTGCCCAACAGCAAACATCCAACAAGTTCAATAACACTGCCCAACAGCAAACATCCAACACTTTCAATAACACTGCCCACCAGCAAACATCCAACACATTCAATAACACTGCCCAACAGCAAACATCAAACATCCAACCCATTCAATAACACTGCCCAACAGTTAACATCCAACACATTCAATAACGCTGCCCAACAGCAAACATTCAGCAGATTCAATAATGCTACTCAACAGCAAACATTCAAGATATTCAATAATAGTGCCCCACAGCCAACACCCAACATATTAAATAAGACTCTAGATAAATATTTAAACAAACACGTTTTCTCAGAATATTATTTTCTACATATCTGTGTGGGATATTCATTTGCACATACATAGAATGTCTCCAAAATTTGTATGTTGAAAAACCTGTCCCACAAATTCACAGATCACCTGATTTAACAGTTCATATTTGTCTGCTTTGGGGAGAACACACTACGGTAAATTTACTGGAAAATTGCACATTTTAGGCTTAAATAGTAAAAATATGAATAAAGTAGAGTTGAAGGTTTTATCCATCTTTAAGTAAAATATGAAAGTCCATTGACAATTCTACTAGATTCCTGGTTTAGTGAATAACCCTGGTGATCACTTGAACTTTAGCACAGTTAGGTACTGCAGGTAACTTTATCAACTACTGTGTTAACAATATTAACAAAGTGAGGAAATATCACAACTTTGTTTGTTATCTCAAGTTTTCTAGCATCTCTTGGTGGTGTACAATTTAAAAATCATGTTAGACAAAGGTTATCCCTTCAAACTAATACGTAATAGATTTTAATTACAGAAAAGTAAAATAATCCCAATAATCACTTCTATAGAAAGTGACCAATAGGATAAAGTCCCAGTGCAATCTGAAAAAAAGTCTTGGAAAATAAAATCTTTATTTATATCTCTTTAAAATACTGAAGGTAGACATACAAAATAGGGATAAAGTAGTAAATATACCCCAAGTAAAAAAGGCAGGAAAAGGGGGAGGACACTATTAGTATACAGTAGCAAGAAAAAGTATGTGAACCCTTTGGAATGATATGGATTTCTGCACAAATTGGTCATAAAATGTGATCTGATCATCATCTAAGTCACAACAATAGACAATCACAGTCTGCTTAAACTAATAACACACAAAGAATGAAATGTTGCCATGTTTTTATTGAACACACCATGTAAACATTCACAGTGTGGGTGGAAAAAGTATGTAAACCCTTGGATTTAATAACTGGATGAACATCCTTTGGCAGCAATAACTTCAACCAAACGTTTCCTGTATTTGCAGATCAGACGTGCACAACGGTCAGGAGTAATTCTTGACCATTCCTCTTTACAGAACTGTTTCAGTTCAGCAATATTCTTGGGATGTCTGGTGTGAATTGCTTTCTTGAGGTCATGCCACAGCATCTCAATCGGGTTGAGGTCAGGACTCTGACTGGGCCACTTCAGAAGGCGTATTTTCTTCTGTTTAAGCCATTCTGTTGTTGATTTACTTCTATGCTTTGGGTCATTGTTCTGTTGCAACACCCATCTTCTGTTGAGCTTCAGCTGGTAGACAGATGGCCTTAAGTTCTCCTGCAAAGTGTCTTGATAAACTTGGGAATTCATTTTTCCTTTGATGATAGCAATCCGTCCAGGCCCTGACGCAGCAAAGCAGCCCCAAACCATGATGCCCCCACCACCATACTTCACAGTTGGGATGAGGTTTTGATGTTGGTGTGCTGTGCCTTTTTTTCGCCACACATAGTGTTGTGTGTTTCTTCCAAACAACTCAACTTTGGTTTCATCTGTCCACAGAATATTTTGCCAGTACTGCTGGGGAACATCCAGGTGCTCTTGTGCAAACTGTAAACATGCAGCAATGTTTTGTTTGGACAGTTTGTTGTTTGGCTTCCTCTGTCGTATCCTCCCATGAAATCCATTCTTGTTTAGTGTTTTACGTATTGTGGATTTGCTAACAGGGATGTTAGCATTTGCCAGTGACTTTTGTAAGTCTTTAGCTGACACTCTAGGATTCTTCTTCACCTCATTGAGCAGTCTGCGCTGTTCTCTTGCAGTCATCTTTACAGGACGGCCACTCCTAGGGAGAGTAGCAGCAGTGCTGAACTTTCTCCATTTATAGACAATTTGTCTTACCGTGGACTGATGAACAGCAAGGCTTTTGGAGATACTTTTTTAACCATATCCAGCTTTATGCAAGTCAACAATTCTTAATCGTAGGTCTTCTGAGAGCTCTTTTGTGCGAGGCATCATTCACATAAGGCAATGCTTCTTGTGAAAAGCAAACCCAGAACTGGTGTTTGTTTTTTATAGGGCAGGGCAGCCGTAACCAACACATCCAATCTCATCTCATTGATTGGACTCCAGTTGGCTGACATCTCACTCCAATTATCTCTTGGAGATGTCATTAGTCTAGGGGTTCACATACTTTTTCCACCTGCACTGTGAATGTTTACATGGTGTGTTCAATAAAAACATGGCAGCATTTCATTCTTTTTGTGTTATTAGTTTAAGCAGACTGTGATTGTCTATTGTTGTGACTTAGCTGATGATCAGATCACACTTTATGACCAATTTGTGCAGAAATCCATATCATTCCAAAGGGTACACATACTTTTTCTTGCAACTGTATACCTACAACTATGTTTGTGCAGCATGTGTCCAGTAAAGCAACTCTTAAATAAAACAGTTACAAAGAAAATGGACACAGATTGCAGAAGATGCTGTAGAACGAACACAGTTGCTGTATATAACACCCTAAGTCCTATCCATGTCTATTAGATTCAGAGTACAGTTGTATTGGTATGGCTGAACAGAGCCTTATAATTATTGCTGAAATTGGATGACAGGATAAATGGTAAACTGAAGGTTCACTTAACAGTGGTCATAGAGCAACTATTAGCAAAAGGAAACAAAAAGGCGCGCGAGGGAGCTGAAGAGGAAGCACTGAGTGCTCCCTCGCGCGCCCGCCTTCCTGCCCGACCGGCCACCTGCCCGCCGGGGTCAGCAGCACCACTGGACCCCAGGGAATCCCCCCAGCACTCCAAAAGGTAAGGAGGCTGGGGGGATTACATTTAAAAAAAAAAATGTGTGTTTATGTGTTTGTGTGTTAGTGTATGTGTGTGTTAGTGTATGTGTGTTAGTGTGTGTTTGTGTGTTAGTGTATGTGTGTTAGTGTGTGTTAGTGTATGTGTGTTAGTGTGTGTTTGTGTGTTTATGTGTTAGTGTATGTGTGTTAGTGTGTGTTTGTGTGTTAGTGTATGTGTGTTAGTGTATGTGTGTTAGTGTGTGTTTGTGTGTTAGTGTATGTGTGTTAGTGTGTGTGTTTGTGTGTTAGTGTCTGTATGTCAGTATGTCTGTCTGTGTGTCAGTATGTCTGTGTGTGTTTTTGTCAGTATGTATGTCTGTCTGTGTGTCAGTATATCTGTGTGTGTGTGTTTCAGTATGTCTGTGTGTGTGTGTGTCAGTCTGTCTGTGCATGTCAGTATGCCTGTCTGTGTGTGTGTCAGTATGTCTGTGTGTGTCAGTATGTCTGTGTGTGTGTGTCAGTATGTCTGTCTGTGTGTCAGTATATATGTGTGTGTGTATATCTGTGTGTGTCAGTATGTGTGTGTCAGTATGTCTGTATATGTGCCTGTGTCAGTATGTCTGTCAGTACGTCTACCAGTGTATGTGTCTGTGTGTGTGTGTCAATATATGTACCTGTGTCAGTATGTCTGTCAGTGTATGTGCCTGTTTATCTGTATGTAGTCAGTGTATGTATCTGTGTATCTGCTTGTGCGTCAGAGTGTGTACCTGTGCATCTGAGCCGCAACTTTAAATACAAATACACCCCTCCATTCAAACTTCAACACTACATATAAAACACACTCCTGCATTGAAACGTCAACACTACATACAAGCACACTCCTACATTCAAAAACAAACACTACACATAAATGCACACTTGCATTCAAACTCCAGTACCACATACAAACACATTCACACAAACATACTCCATACAAACACATGCTTACATTCAAACATACAAACATGGCTCAGTGCTAAATACAACCCTGCAAGCATGGGAAATTGGTAGAGTCCCAGCTGTCAAAGCATTGTTGGAGTTGCACGACAGATGGGGTTCTACCTTTAGTCCAACCTTGCAATTGGGGGTCCCAATAAAATTCATTCTACTTTAGTACCGCCACTGCGTGGGGATGGATGCCGTGATTGCATACCAGGGAGTGAGGGGCGAGAGCGGCAGGGCCCAGGGGGCCCAAGCAAACACTTGCCCAGGGTCCATTCGTTATTAAAGACGGCCCTGTATCTGAGAGTCAAATAGAATCGTCAAATACTGCTGTCACATTGCAGTTTTAAAACTTAAAAATGCTTGGGTGCTAAAAAGTACATTAGTGGGGTGCACTTCATATCTGAGAGTCAAATAGAAGCATCAAATACTGCTGTCACATTGCAATTTTAAAACTTAAAATTTGTTGGGTGCTAAAAAGTACATTAGTGGGGTGCACTTCATATCTGAGAGTCAAATAGAAGCGTCAAATACTGCTGTCACATTGCAGTTTTAAAACTTTACATTTTTCGGGTGCTAAACTGCTAAATAGTATTTTAGTGGGGTGCACTTCATATCTGAGAGTCAAATAGAAGCGTCAAATAGTGCGCTGTGCGCTTACAGCGCAGTTGTAAACATTCTAATTGTATTGGTGCTAAACTGCTAAATAGTTACATTTTGGCAGGGGCGTACCTAGAGTATTTGGCACCCGGGGCCGATCCTTTATTTGGCCCCCACTCCCAACTTTGAAATGTAAAAAAAACCTGCAATTTTTTTAATGTATTTGGCACTGAACACCGAAACAAACACAGTCACACAAACAGATACACATACAGATACACAGACATACAAATATACATGTATAAGTGTGTGTTTGCGTAGTGGATGCAGTGTGTTTGCATAGTGTATGCAGTGTGTGTATAGTGAATGCAGTGTGTGTATAGTTTATGAAGTGTGTGTATAGTGTATGAAGTGTGCAGTGTGTATGCAGTGTGTGTATAGTGTATGGAGTGTGCAGTGTGTATGCAGTGTGTATAGTGTATACAGTGTGTGTGTATACAGTGTGTG